TTTGGAGGTGGGGGACATGGCACTGAGTCCTTTTAAATTTATTTTGACACGGGGTCTTACTAACTTTCCCAGGTAGATCTAGCAAATTACTGCACCCCGATACAATTTGTGTGTTTTTGGTACTAGGGATTGAACTCAAAGACACTTTATCATTGATCCTCATSCCCCTGYCCTTCTTATTTTTTGAGACAGATCTCCTTAAGTTACCTACAGCCTAAGTTGCTGACCCTAGCTCTGAACTTGCGATCCTCCTGCCTTAGCCTCCCTTGAGCCACTGGGATTACAAGGAAGGAACCACAAATAATTGCACTGAGTGCAAGTGATAAAGCACTTATCGCCTTGCTGCTACTCTGCAAATGGGTGAGGACCACTCCTGAAGCACCTGCCTGCTCTGCTAGGCAACCACTACTGTACTCACCAGTTACAGAGGGGAGCCTTGCCTAAGAGCCAGAAACTCCCCAGGATCTGCCTTCACCAAAATTCATCTTCTTTTTACCACCCTTAAATGCTGTTGTGGCTCAAAAATTTTCAGGAAAAAGACCCATACTAATTTCTAAAAAAAAAAAAAAAAAAGTCATAATTTCCTTCTTATCCTCTATAACATTTAATGTCATTCTAAGAAAAAGTAAAACTTTGGGTGGTCCTGAATTTGGAGCTAATCCCAGCTCTGTCAATTAGTTAGTCAAGAAAAGCTGGGAAAAAAGGGGGGGGGGGAGCGACCATTTTGGTTGCCATGACTACCTTTAAGTTCCAAACATGAACCCCTGAAGCTTTTCAAGGTCAGTTATGGAGTGACAGCACAGTCCCTAGGACATGATCTAAATCTCGACCTCTATTATCAAGTGACCATGTGACCAGAAGCACCAGTCTCCTTGAGCTGTCTCACTGATAAAATGATGGTGCTGTCTTCTGACTGACAAGGTAGGTAAACAGTGCTCAAAATTTTCTGGATCAGGAACCCTTTTAAAAATTTGCTGAGATCTGATCTGTCCCCAGAACCACACACAAGGTCACTGACCCACGACAAGCATGCACACACCTTCAAAGCCCAATCATGAGCCCTGCCTAAATGAACACATCCTATCTATCTTCTAGAGTCTCCCCCAGACACCCCRGGGTACTCCTTGCTTTTCCAAATACCAATCACATGAATTAGATTTCAGTGTTAATACAAAAGTCATTTATCTGTGATATTAAGGGGGATGAATGAAAAATGGCAGCAAATGTATGTACCACCTCAAACCATGTTTGGCATATATTGGGTGCTCAGCAAGCATTTATTAACTGAATCAAGGTCTTTTTTAAACACACATTACTGTATTCATTAAAAGCCACAACTCTTTGTTGATTCTGTAGTTCCAAGTCTTTCAAGCAGTTGTATTTACATGACATTTCATTCAGCCAACATCTAATGCTCTTTATCTTTAAATTAATTGAAACATCTAAAGTTTTTTATTACTATCATATACTACTGAAGAAATAACAGCCTTTCTTAAGGTCATTTCATGTATCTTTGCTCAGCAGCTGCTCTCTCATAAGGAAACATACATTAAAAAAAAAAAAAAGGAAGAAAGAAAGAGGTTCAAAGAATTAAAAAAGAGTCAAATTTAAAACCAAGCACGAAATCACAGAACATCCCTAAAAAATTATTGGCTTCATCATGTCCCCTGCTCAGAAATAGGAACTTAAGTGTTCATATTTTCACTGTTATTACTTTCATTTTCCAGGTTTTACATCAAAACAGATTGCTTATATTAAGGCTCATTTGTTTTCCTACCATAAAAGCTTAAACAAGTAAACTGAATAATTTTCTCTCTCTCTCTCTCTCTCTCACACACACACACACACACACACACACACACACATACACAATCTACCAACCCATTTTAGGCTCACAGCTAAAAATCCAAATATATCTGCAATTCCATCTAGATTCACCTAAGTCTCTGAATTTTGGGGGCATTTGATTTAAGTATATTCAACACAGAAGAACAGAAAAAGGTAATAATAAGTCTTAGTCTCATTGAGGGCTGAGGTTCTCAGAGTTTGGTCCAAGGACCCATAAGTGTTCCAGAGACCCTTGATCTCTATGATGGCAGATTTCCTTCCCAAACAACAAAAAATAATTGTATCATAACAAATCAAATACAGAAGCYGATCAGAAACTAGCTAACCTCTTTTAAGCCAGGTACTAAATAAGTTTGCAAACATGTAAAAGAATGCCAATTCACCCTAATAAAAATCTGTTTTGGAAAATGGGGCTTCTCATTAATGATAYTTATACTACAGTGATTTAAATTTTTTCTTCCAATTCAATAAAAATCAAGAAAAACAAGTTCTTAGGGGTCCTCAATTTTAATTTGAAGGGAGAAACAAACATCTGAGACCACAAGTTTTGAAAAAGATTGCTCCAGAGGCCCTTTACCTCTGTTGGCTTAAAAAAAAAAAAAAAAAAAAAAAAAAAGAGGCAGCAGTGCAATCAATTGACTTCTCTGCCAAGTGAAATTAGACTTCATAATTCAAACCACTTTATTAAATAAGTGAGTTCCTATTTTTATATATATTTTATGTATATTTTTATATTTTAGGGCCTAATAGTACACACATCACATTGTCCACTGCTTCTTGTACTCAATTTTATACCAAGTTTGAAGAGCTCTTTAATTTTATATAACTGTAATGCAAAATCCCCCTTATGGGGACAGTGAACAATTTAACTCCTCTCTACAGACTGAACAAAATGTTTCAGTTAAAGTTAGTGCAGTCTTCCCATTTCATATCACCACCACCACTCTGCAGTAATTAGGCAGGAACACAGGTACACATACTATTCTGAAAACATTCATTGAAATGACCCCTAAAACTCGTTACAAATTTGATATGAAAAAATATACAAGTCAATAACACGTAAGTCACCACTTCATTTACATTATTGCACAGATCAGCTTATGCAATGACCCACTCCATTTTGACTGGAGAGTTGATTGACTACTAACTTGAATATGTGCACTTAAAAACAATATAGTCCCCTGAAATTCAAGAACTTATTTGTATTTCTTTTAAGGACACACTAATCAACCTTCCTCCCCCAATAAATAAGGTTTTTCAGTCAATAAATAAGATTACTGGACACTGAAATATAGACACATGCAGAGGTGTGAGGAACACCTGTACCAGCCTCAAGTGTGCAAACCTCAGAGTTCACGGCCCCAGCATCTCAGAGCCACAAGGCATGATGCATCTCTCCCACAACTGTGATGCCAATGTTACACAACTTCTCACAACTTCTGCTGAAAGTTTCTATTCTTCTGTTTTTCTGTATTTTTGTCATCTCTCCTCGGTTTTCTGAAAAAGGTATTGTGCTACGTGCCTACATACCTCTTAAACTGCAGACCCATCCCACAGTGCCTTACATGTAGTGTAAGTCAATATAGTCATTTGAGGTCTAAAAGTAATAATGAGGGAGGAAGTTGGATAAGAAGTCAGTCCCAGAGCTAAAAAATAAGTCCAAAAAAAAAAAAAACAACCCCAAATGGTAAAAACATGCAGCATGGGCTTTTCCAACGAAACTTCTTCTGCCATGTGCTTTCTGGTCCAGGGTTAGGTTTGATATGATACTCTACCAAATGAACCTGGCAGAAAATAATGGTGAGCTATAGGAATATCGAGACGGCAAAACATATAAAGGTCACCTCCATAAATCAAAGCAAGTTTACTTCAATGTGTACTTTGTGTGTTGGGTATTTTATTTCCYAGCTATAACATATTGTCCCTCCCTTTCCACTCCCAATGTTCTCCAGAGAAAACTTGTAGTATGAAAATTTTAAAAACTAGCGACCTCTGCCTTTAACCATGCCCCTCCTCTAAACATATCCTAATACATGAAGCACACAAAGATCTGTCTCAAAGACAATTTTAAAAGCAACTATTTTTCTAAACAGAGGAGGGAGAGGGGGAAATAAAAAAATTATCAAACTGAAAAAAATTATGTCTTCCGCCCAAACTCCTAACAAAAAAGTACCAGAACAGGGCCGGGAGGTACAGCTCGGTAATAAAGCACTTGCTTGGCATGTTAAGGGCCCTAGATTCCATCCTCAGCATGAGAAGAAAAAGTATCAGAATAATTCCAAAATTCAGTATCACATTTTTTACGGTCTTAAAAATGGTTAAAATAGTGTTATGTTCAGAAAGAAGGGGAAAGAGGCAAAAACTGTAGCAATCCTACGTGAAGAGGGTAAAGTTTTCATTCATTATTCGCTCCATGATATTTGAGAGATGCATTTGCAACACAGGTCTACCCACAGCTAACTAGCAGATGCATGAATACTCCAAATGTGCATCATATAAAATGGGTACAATTTAGTCTGGTGAAAAAAATGAGCTCTGTAAGCACATAGCCCTGCCCACTGAATTTCCTTGTTTGTAAGCATTTGCTCAGATGCTTAGATATCTAAAATAAAATGGAAATTCAAGTTTGTACTCCAAGAACAATTATACAAAGAAAACTAGATATGGAAACCTAGCAACTAAGATGCGTTTGCAGAGGATAATGAATGGTTTAAGTAGAAGCAACACATCACTAACTTACTTCACATATGGATGGTGACTTCTTGTCTGTAAAGCTGATTTAAGATAAAAATGAATATTCTTAAACTACATGAAACCAGGTCTCAGAATGCAATGATAAGCCTATTTTTAAAGTGGGTCCTGGATACATACAGATCAAAGTGTATTTCCAGGTAAGCAATTACTGCAAACAGCTTTACCTCCAAATCATGCCCCTCTCGTCTAACACAAATTTTGTTTAAAAAAAGAAAAAAAAAAAAAAAAAGAGAGAAGAGGGGAAATAGTCATAAAAGACAAATACTTTTAATTAGAAGCAAAAGAAAAACCCAGGTCACTGAGAGATGGGGAGTGTGGGCCTGACTGCGCTGAGTTTGCAGAGGGCGCTGGCAGGTGTTGGGGCTGTGTTCGTGTGCAGCAGGCGCTGGGGTACTTACTGTGCCCGGCTCTCTGTCTGCTCCCGAGGTTACCAAGAAACGCACAGACATGCCCGTTCAGACACAGAGGCAAGAACAGAAATAAAAAAAAGGGGGGAATAATTAGAACACAAGCCCCAAACAGTTTTAAAAATGGCTTTTATTTATATAAGTCATTGCACATTCCTAATACAGTGATTTCCTGAAAATTACAGTATTTTGTAAACATAAGATTTACAGTTTAACCATTCACAAAGCCTATTTTTTTAAATTTCTTGACAGAATAAATTACTTTTCTTCAAAAAATTAGTCAAGTGCAATTTTGCCCAATATTTAATGCATACTAGAATTAAAGCCTATGAAACTAAGTAGTAACAGATGCAATTATCAAACCTTTCATTTGAACACATTCACTTTCAAATTTAACTTCTTATTTCGCCCCATTTAACAACATTACTTTCTTTGAAAATTACCCAATTAAGCAGTTAACAGTTTTCCATAATATGGTACAGGCCACTGGCATTAACTAGGCAGTTGCCAAGATGTCAAGATGCCTGCAAATCTAGTGAGATTGAGAAATCTACGATGCCCACGGCAAACCCTGCAAACTTCCAGGGTGAATTGAATTGTGTGTCAGTGAAAGCTTTGCGACAGTTCCTCTTATCTCATTGTTTGCTCTCTGTATAGGTTGGGGCTTTCGTTAGCGATGCACGCAACTTTGCAGCACTGTCTGAGTATGAGGTCAAAGTCCTAATCCGGTTTGCCCGGCCTCTCACCTCTGTGGTGCTCTGCATCATGGTGCTTCTTGTCATCTTTTATTGCCAAGTGAGACTGCCCACTCAGAGCACTAGACAGCGCGAGAAGGCTGGCACTGCCCCCGAGGGGCGGGATGCCAGGAGGCTGCAGTCCTGAAGGGTGAGGCGTTAGGGGTACCGGGGGTCCRTGGCCATGAGAAAGATGCTGAGCTTGCAACTGCTGCTGCTGTTCGCGGTGGTGAGAAGAGGATGGGGGAACAGGAGGAGGACGTGGTGGTGGTGGGGATGAAGCACACCCAGAGGGGAGAAACACAAGAGAGGATGCAAGAAACAGACAGGACGTTGGACATACACACAGAAGGGACAGAGACAGGGAAGAAAGGGGGGAAAATGAGATTAGTACTTTCAATTCATCAAAAGCTTTCACCCTTGCAATAACTTCTCCCCACCATCCCCAAAATCAAACCCTCCRATCTACACTGTCACTTCCTGGCATAACTCATGCCCTGGGAGTAGAGATGCTTATTATAAAGCAAGTCTGGCTAAGTCAGTAAGTACTTAAACACAAGTTTCATCTCTAAGCGCCTCCAGGGACAAAATCTAGTGTGTCACTGAGTCTAAGATGCTGCAGATTTTAAGACTCCTCTTGATTTCAGCGCAGTGGAGTTGGGGGTGGTAATGTTCAACCGACAGTTCAACAACCACACCCTGACTAGTCCCAGTGACCTGGTCATTGCCCTTTACCCTAACACAAGCTATGATGAGACAAAATCAAATGCTACCTTCAATGAACAGAACCCTGAAAAAAAAAACAAAAAAAAACAAAGTAGTGTCTGGCTCTCTCTCCAGCACCACTCAGGCTTGTGTGTCCCTGTGTCACCAAGTCCTCCCTGAACTGTGAGAAAGCACRATGTTCCCATTTCTCAGAAGGAACCCAGGCTCAAAGGCACTACTGAGGTCCCCCCCACCCCCAGGCAGCAAAGGACTGCAGTCATTTCCGAAGCCCCATAGAGCCGCACTCCTTCTCATACCGTTCCTCGGGGGTGGGGGTCAGGGGTCGTGACAGCTAAAAGAAACCTTAGAGATAAAGCTTTGCTTACGGGCCCTTTCTCCCAAGCCCCCTACCTCAACCCCACTCTTCCTGTAACAGATGAAAACACTGACACTGGGACCCAGAGAGGATAAGAAGTTTGACAAGGAAAACACGTCTCACTGACCCGTGTGGGACTCCAGCCAGGGAGACCCGGGGCCCCCTCCCACCGAAGCACTGGGCCTCTGTCGCATCACCCACTCCAAAGGTCATAAATCTGTTCACATTATACAGAACCGCTTCTCTCATATATTATATTTAAAAGCATGTTGTACAAAATGAGAAAGTATCCAAGAAATGGCCCCTGCATCATAAATCTGGACACATTTCAGCTGTCCAACATAAAACGCGTTTTTGATGAGACAGTAAAAACGATTAAAGCTCAATTTCTAAGGTGTAATGTTAGAAAATTCTTAAGATTCTGATTTGTGCTCACTTCYCTGGGRCTCAATTACTCGTTTTATTTATCATCCCTTTGCACGTACTGAATATATTAAATCTTCATGCCAGATCTACAGTCACTTCCACCCAGACCACAGATTTTTAGTTGAGTCCCAAACACGCTTCCCACCCAAGAATAAATCACCATCTTAAAATCAGAAAGCAGTAGCTGCTGCAATTGTACAGTGAATGTTCAACCACTCCTATAACCTTTAAAAGAAATTTTTGTGCACACTGTACATACAGGGGGGTTGAACTTGGGGGTGGCTCCACTCCTGAGCTACAACCCCAACTCTTTTTATTTTTTGAGATTCAGTCTGGCCAAGTTGCTGAGGCTGACCTCCAACTTGCAATCCTCCTGCCTCAGCTTCCTGAGTTGCTGGGATTATAGGCCTGCACCACCACGGTGGATGTAAAAAAAAAAAAAAAAAAAAATCTTTAAGAGTGCAACATCTTTAAACTTCCATCCCTTTTTTAGAGAGCCTCATTGAAATTAGAGGGAGAAATGGAAAAGGGGTGGGGAGTGACCTTAACAGCATTCCTGAAAAGCATACTACTCATTCACCATCTGAGATCATAATAACAATTTCTTTATGTGTAAAATCACCTTCCTGTCATCCCAAAGACACTAAATCTTGCTCTGTCACTTTCTAAGGGCTGGGCAGCAGTGAGACATAAAACTGAAGAAGCTGGCAGCGGCATCACGGTCCACTAGGCATGCTCATTAGCACTTAATTAGGAACTAGACACCTGCCATAAGAAATGTGCTCAGAGAAGGATGAGGAGCAGGTCTGCCCTACCAGCAATTACTATCATTACTTGGAGAGTAAGAGCTATGTCCGGCTTCTGGGGGGGAAGGCAATGATGCATACACAAGCAAGTGCAGCGGGGTAATTAAGCACGGCACTGATTAAAAGAAGATGAGAGAGGCCAAGCAGAGGGGAAGGGATGTAACTACAGGGTGGAAGACAGCATTCTATCCCCTCTCTGCATCCCCACTCCCCAAAATATCCAGAAKGGAGCCACTGGAAGGGCCCCTTTGGAGGTGGGATCAAACGTACCAGATTTGTATCTGGAAACACAAGACGGAAGTAGAGACTTTACCCCCAAAGTCCAGGTTAGCCTCCAGAAATATAAAGAGGAAAGCAGACCCTGACATATTACTGAAAAGAAGGACTAGCTTATGTAACAACAGGGCTTTGTCACAGCTGTGAAGTAATCTGTGTAGATCTATGCTTTAAACCCAACAGTTAAGCTGATAACCAGCAACAGGGACATTCAACAGCATACCTGGCCACAGAGAACTCCCGTGTCTACCCTACTCTGGCTTTCCAGGCCCCCTGAAGAAAATAGCTGTCTATCACTAGAGGAAACGGGTATTGGGTTCTTTCATCCYGAGCTCAGCCATCTCGAATGCTGCTGCTGTGTCCCCCACCTCCCAACTTCATGAAGAAAAGGAAAATCTTATCAAACTAGAAACAGTAAGTAACAACCAGACGGGTCCCCACTGTGGAAGACGTTGTGGTTCCAGGAGATGGGGATCTACTGCCTCACATTCTATCTCTTGATCCTGCTGGGCAGTGCTCCTGGATACTATAATATATCCATGTTCATTATCCAGCCTGAGCTCAGAACAATCTTAAGGCAGGAAGCATAGGTACTGGACTCTCATTTTCCCAGATGAGACTCATTCACAGCAGTCTAGCCAGGAAGCTCTGAGCCAGWGGGAGGACTTGCAAATTTCTGTTTTGTAGAACATGCTCTAAAGAGCATTTCTCCTGTAACTCCAGCAATCCAGTCCTGGTGCCAGCACAAGAAGAGGGCAGTTTCCACTGGATCCTTCACCCTTCGCTCCATGCCCAGCCTGTGAGATGCTCTCCAAAACACCCAGTCCCATGCACCCAGGGACAAATCCACCACCACTATCCAGCCTTAACAGCAGTGACCAATGGAAGTTTGTTCATAGATTTCATGAGCACCACCTCTTTCATTTCACTTCTCAATGCCTGTCCCTACCTCTGCAAAAAAGGAGGACATCATTTGCTCCTGCTCTCTTCCAAGGAAATTTTCAAGTAACAATCAAGCTTTCAGACATAGTTCTGGGTTCTTTCCAGAAGTAGATACTTTATAAGTAAAAAGTATTTTTTCATTTAAAATTAATCTAAATGAATATAGAGAGCCCATATTTTTTTTTTAAAGAGAGAGAGAGAGAGAGAGAGAGAGAATATTTTAATATTTATTTTTTAGTTCTCGGCGGACACAACATCTTTGTTGGTATGTGGTGCTGAGGATCGAACCCGGGTCGCACGCATGCCAGGCTAGCGCGCTACCACTTGAGCCACATCCCCAGCCCTAGAGAGCCCATATTTAAAGAGTAAAATGGTTAACTCCAAAAGGGTAGCCCACACCATCCATGCAACATGGCTCCCCAAGACGATATGATACCACCCTCACCAAAAGGAGAAAGGATGAATGCCAGTTAAAGAATATATTTTAGGGCAAAAGTGATACTGGCATTGCTCTATAGCCAAAAACCCAATGGCTCCCACAATCAGGGGGATTTACATACATATATCCTCTGTGGACCAAAATCTGCTTCCACCATTTGGAAAACTACAAGATGTTTTACAAAACGACAGCAAGGCAGATTCAACCTTCTATGTGGTCACTAATTTATAAAGATCAGGAAATTATTTTTAAAGTTAACGCTTGCAAGAAACACAAGCAAAATAATTTATACAGCTACTAGTAAAGATGTTTCTGAACCAGACACTGTGGTACATGCCTGGCACCCAAGGAAACTGGAAAGCTGAGGCAGAAGATCCAAACTCAAGGCCAGCTTTAGCAATTTAGTGAGGTGCTGTCTCAAAAACTAAGACTCAGGAGGCTAAGACAGGAGGACTACAAGTTCAAGACCAGCCTCAGACACTTAGCTAGTCACTAAGCAAACTTAGTGAGACCCTGTCTTAAAATTTGAAAAAAAAAAAAAAAAAATTTTAAGGGCTGGGGATGTAGCCCAGTGGTTAAGTGCCCCTGGGTTCAATACTTGGTACACAAATATAAAAATAAAAATAACTGGGGATGTGACTCCTAACACTGTCTAGATATTGATGGTTGTCACATGGAGGCGGGTGTTAATGACATCTAGCAGATAGAGGCCAAGGACGCTGCTGAACATCCTACATGCACAGGACAGTGCTCCACTACAGAGAACTTTTGCACTCAAATCATCAACAGTCTGAGGTTGAGAAATGACAATCAAGACCTAACCTGGAATCCTGTCCCATTACATTTTGTCTTTGTTTCTTTTTGCACTGCTTGGATCTGAACCCAGGGCCCTGTACATGCTGGGCAGGCACCCTACCACCGTGCTACATCCCCAGCCCTGTCCCATTACATTGGAATTCATGTTCTTATATGGCAAATGACTAACAAACTGCTGTTTAAGAAATAAAAATACTTTTCAACATTCAAGCTTTGACTGTCCCTTCATCACCATCTGAGGCCCCTGTCGCAACTCAAAAAACTGAACATCTGCTTTCCAGAGATCCCACTAACAATTTYGAAATTAAAAACCACCACCAMCAACAACAAACACCCTCGTATATTTTATGAAACAATCTGGGAAAGAGCTACGCTGAGAACTTTTCACCTAGTATTCTGGTGCCTCARAGGAAATTATGGAAAGGTTTAGG